TATATATATATATATATACACACACACACACAACAGATTTTAAAAATCACTAGTGCCCTCTAGAGGTTAATCTGCTGAACTGCACTAGTGAGATGAACAATGGTGGATTGACAATGGCTGCCATCTGGCTGACCTGATGGTGAGCCAACTGGTTCCCCACTTTCAGAATTGGAGTGCTGAAAGAAATGAAACGGGCCAGTTGGTCACGATGATACATGAATAAAAATGGGTTGAGCGGATGGATGGTGCATCCAGTGACCTTTGGAGTTTTAGTTGTGTAGGAAATGCTGATCTCTTAAAGGTTTACTTTAGCTGCATTCATCGTGAAACTTGCTAATTAGCACATTATTAGGAAAGGCGATTTGCAAAAATTAATTAAAAAAAGCCTAACACTCACTTCTTCTCTAGGTGAAGCTGGATCACGAATGATTCGCGCAAACATAGACGCATTTATGTAGATCGGGGGCGCATTCCTTTCAAAAACAAACACAATCCACTGCATCTTCAGCAGCTCAGATGTCGGGAGTAAATGACGACTGCTATGTTCATTATTACATCCAACAACAGAACACCTCAAATGCTTGTTAGGAGTCATTCTTGTCTACATCTGCTCCAGCGGTGAAACAATGGCGGACTGATGACAGCTCACTCAGGGCGGGTCTAAGGTAAGACACCAGTCCAGTCTGTGCTGAAACGCTACGGTCAATCAAACTATCGTGGGAGGGGCCTGTCTGTGTGACGTCACACAGACAGGCATCTGAGATCGGCTCGATTTGAGAAAGGGGTAAAGATTTTAGTAGATTAACAAAAAACCACTGGGTGGATTTTTATCATTTTACGGTGGTTGTGTACACACACTGCCAACACACATTTCAGTTCAAACAACTTGTAAACATGCATGTAGCATTATATGACCCCTTTAACATGGATAGAGAGAGAAGCAAGGTGAAAAAGAGAAGCTTCACTTGATTCACAGGGTCCCTACACAGTGTTCATAGCTCCCTATACACTGATCAGGATATCAAATTCACTTTACTTGAAAGTGTCATGCTCAAAGGCTGAAATTATTTGACCGAAAATACAGTAAAAACAGTAATATTTTGAAATATTTTTACAATTTAAAGTAATAGTTTTCTATTTTAATATATTTTAAAATGTATTTCTGTGATGGCAAAGCTGAATTTTCAGCAGCCATTACTCCAGTCTTCAGTGTCACATGATCCTTCAGAAATCACTCTAATGCTGTTAAATTTTTTATTTTTATAATTTATAACAATAAATATTATTAAAAAATACACACATGTAAATATACAAAAACGTATTACATTTTATAAAATGTATAAATATCAAATTTTTTTTAAAAGCCTACTTCTTCATCCCTTGTATTCACGTCCACTTTCTTGGAGCTGATGGCCTTGCTGACGTGTTCGATGTTGTTCTCTCTGCAATAGTCGAAAATATTTTTGTCCTCTTCCCTAAAGTCAAACACAACATAGGAAAATGCTCAGAAAGAGTGTAAAGCAATGATCACACCAAACCTTTGACGAAATTTCATAGAAATCAATTAAAGATCAACTGAAATAGCATTAAATCATAGTAGGGAAATTAAGAAACATCGTCTAATCTTAAATATTACATAACCAGGGTCAGTGCTGTCGCTAGAAATTCTGGGCCTAGTAAATGTGAATTGCTGAGTGATCACCCAAGAAGGAAGATAATGCCAAGCTAAACAGATGTGAACGGGTGCCGCAAAAATCATGTTACTGGCAGGCGTCTCATGGTCACATGCCATCTACCTCTGTGTATGTGCATTCTCAGGAGCCTGGCGCTAACCACAGCAGTTTTAATTATTTTCCGCTCTAATCATCTTGTGGCATTTGGGCCAAGCCAGGCATGGCAGAGCGAGACATCGAGAGAGAGAAAGAAAAGGGTTATAGGGGATGAGGTACAGTTGGTTGGAGAAATCTCATTAAGAGATTTACCCCTGCCCCTTTTGCCCATGGAGGATGGCAGATTAATTGCATTTGGAGCACTATTGTGTGGCCGCCCCTCACTCTCATTACAGGGGCAGGGCAGATGAGACTGGCAGCGGATGGGACCTCTGTGCCTGAGAGATACAGGAAATAGACAGATTGGCCAACCTAAAATGAACTGATTTGAAAAGTATATGTGAGACAGAAAAAATGCTTGAAGATCCATGTTATGCCAAGCATTGAGAGCCTCTTGCTTAAATGTCATATACCTCAAAAATATTAATTTTCATATTCAGAACAAAATATCAATAAATCTACAGAACGTACAATTTCTTTCAGTAAGACATAAACATTTATAGCAGTTTCCACAAGTATGGTACAAAAAATGGCCTTGAATTAAAAAAAATAAAAAAATCTAAACGAAAGTTAAAAAGGCAAATTTGATCAAATTGACAAATCTGAATGGGAAAAAAAACTACTAGAATGGGTAACCGGGTTGTAAATTTGGTGTAAATTTGGTTGTTTTCAAAATTAAAGTTAAATATGCAAAAATGTATAAAATTAAAAATAAAGCTAGAATTAAAATTTTGAATTAATTAAATTAAGCTAATTTTTAACACATGAATTTAACCATCAGATTATGTCACAAATGTAACAAGCTATTTTTTTTGTTTAAAACTACTGCTTAAAGGTGCAGTAAGCGATTTCTGAGAAATGCTGTTGATATTTGAATTCACCAAAATAAACACGCCTCTACCCAAAAGAATCACACCGCTATCTTGCCTCCGCCCCCGAATTTCTGAACATGCTATTGCATGCGCGATTTCTAATTCGCTTTACAGCACGATTTTCCACTCCCCCAACCTCCCGCAGTATGCTATCCGAACCAATCAGAATGCAGCACGCCTAAATGGAGCACTACATGGCTAAATGGGCATACAAACGGAACGCCAGGTTCACACACTCTGTCTGTGGTGCGTATTTTTTCCACGCCCATGTTAACGGATCATATTTTTGTTATAAGAAAAAAGTTATTAAACCTGTTATACTGTATTATGACAGCACTTTTTTTTAAACTAAATTTCAATATCGCGATAATACCATATACCGTGATAAAAGCATTAGCAATTAATCGCAACATGAGAATTTGATACCGGCATATCCCTACACATACTGTATACGCACTGCAGACGGAGTATGTGTGAACTTGGCGCAACAAATCTAGTTCAACATCTGAGGCAATGCCACAAAGAGCTCTATGACCAATGCATGGCAAAAAAAAATCCCTGGACACGGGATTTTTTTTTTTCCTGTCATATATGTCTATTCTAGAGACATTTTGTTACACCTTTACTTAGTGATTATTTTGCCTTATGTCTGTTCTAGAGACATGTTACAGCTTTTTGATAAAGCTCTAATTGGTTTTCATTTGGAAATATGTTTCAAATTCACACTGAATGCATTAATGACTGTAAAGCATGTCTGTGTGTGTCAAAATCGTGATTAAAATCGAAATTGCAAAATTGATCAAAGAAATCGCTATATTTTTATTTGTCCATATCACACAGCCCTACTTTCAACAGCATTTCTCAGAAATCGCTTACTGCACCTTTAAAGCTACTGTTCATGCTTACGTCTTACATTTCTATTTTGACAATCAGAATCATATTATTTCATTTATTGTATTCATGAAGGTCAAGACTTCTGCTTACATCATACATTTATATAATAAAATAGTTTATCTAACAAATCTAATAGTTATAACGACAAATTAAAAAACAAATTTGTGCTTTAAAAAAAGCAATTGTACACAAAGTGCACAGTTATCATGGAAAGTGGCTTATGCCTATATATGTGTGCAGTAAACCTGATCTTATCTCACTTGTAGTAAATAAGGCTGAATATGTGAGCGTGTGGTCTTCTTACCGTGACGCAGTGTGTCTGTGCCATGTGGGCATAATTCGTCTCCCGGGGCAACTAATCAATAAAACTGCTCATTCGTCAGACTGATGCTGGCCTGTGCTCCTAAAGCCCGAGTACACACAGGCACACGCTTACACCTGATTAATGGCCCACTGATAAACGACATGGCATCAGCGATGCCGCTGAGCATGTTGGGAAGGTCACTGGCTACTCTGTCATTCCGCACAGTTTGATCAACATTTTCTGATTAGTGAGAGACCAAACAAAAGATCTGTGTTGATGTTTTCACACATAGACTCAAATGCAGATTATCGAGGTGAATCTGTGTAAATCTTCAAATATTAAAAAACAGATATTACAATATTATAAACAATTCTTCAGTACACAGCATGAGTCCTTCATGCTCACCAGGCCATGTTAAAGAGATAATAAAAAGTAATTGACTTCCACTGTATTTCTGTACATACAATGGAAATCAGTGGGAACCGAAACCAGTGGTTACCAACATTCTTCAAAATATCATCTTTTATATTCCAAAGAAGAAAGTAAGTAAGTTTGGAACAACAATGGGGTGAGGAAATGATGACAGAATTTTCATTTTGGGGTGAACTATCCCTTTAACACCATCAATCAGTGACGGGCAGAGCTGACATATACACACGGACAGACGCCACATCTCGACCAAAACACACTGCCCTCCAAAATAGGCCGATATTCTGAAACTGACACCTCTGCTCCCATCAATCAGATCAGATCAATCCGATTCATCTCTCTCCAAGGCATCCTCACAGAACAACTCATCTATCATGCATTCTTTGGAGGAGAAAGCTTCCTTATTCACAACTCCTTCAGAAGCACAGGATTATGCAACTTGGCCAGTTGTTTCCCAAGTGAGTTTAAAGGGGTCATATGATGCTTTTTTAAAGATCATTATTTTGTGTATTTGGTGTAACAGAATATGTTGACATGCTTTAATGTTAAAAAAACACATTATTTGAACATTAATAACGCGCACACACACACACACACGATGCGCAAAACTCCGCATTTGAAAAGTCCGCGTGAACCGGAAGTTGCTGCCGACTTTATTTCAGTGTAGTGACATATTTCCAACTGAAACGGAATACTGAATAGAGGGCATGGTTTTATGTTTGCGCTCCTCCTCTCTGTCTCTCACTCATAGCAGTCTAACGGTTGGGAGGGTGTGTTTAAGCATATACTGCCCAAGCCGTCAAACTGACGTCATCAGAAAAGGAATGCCATTCTAGAGAGAAAGTAAATGTTTAGGTTTTGATTAAAGATTACAAAGACAAACAATTTTTTTTCAGCGGATTAACTTGCACGGATTAATTGTTTACATCAAGACTAGCAATGTGCGCTAGTAAAGTAAATAAAGTCAATTTTGATTTCATGTGGACTTTAAGCAAAAAAAAAAACGAGAGATGGCCTTGGAGTTACAGGTCGTCTGGTGTAGCAATCGGGCAATGCAGAAGTCATTATGACTCTCTAATCAAATGCTAACGAGAGGTTTGAATATGCTGGAGGCCTCTCAATCACCGAGCTTAGAAATTGGAAAGCAGCGAAGCAGTCTGCATGGCAGTCTGATTGGGTCACGCCCGAAATGGGCCGCTCAGCGAGCGACAAATGGGAGGAGAGGAGGGGGAATGAGATGTTAATTGCTTTGGTTTTCCGTCCCCAATGAATGACTCACATTCTCCTGGGACACGTCAGCTTGGGGAATGAACCCCTGTTGCATTGATACTTCCATATAGTTCTTTCATCCATCCATGCCTGGATCCATTTTACATTCTTATCATCGATATAATCATAAAAAAAGTAATTAAACTCCACTGATTCTTGAGGCCTCTTCACCCCCCATGCATGCATACTAATATTGTTAATTTAAGAGGTAAAACCATGTGAATGCAGCCCTTAATTTGTCTTGTTAAAGGGTAGAAGCAACGGGGCATGAGGTATCTATGTGTTCCATGATCAAGAAAATGATTTATGCCTCACTGATGCAAGAGTGATCACTGCAAATTATGATAAAATACTCGTATTCATAAGCAGGATTTGTTACCTTATCTTTTCCTCTTGGTATAGAGAGCTAACCGCTGGCCCGCCAAATCCAGTTCGCATCTCTCCTCCCCTTCGCTCTGACGACTGAAAGAAAGACACAAGTATTATGTCTGGCACCAACAAAAAAAGGGAACTTTTTATAATGCTCATTTATGAAGCCTAGAGATCCATTTAAAGGTTTTAAAGGAATAGTTAGCACAAAAATGTATATTTGTTAGAAATGTACTGACCCTCAAGCCAGCCAAGATGTAGATTAGTTTGTTTCTTCATCGGAACAGATTTGGAGAAATGTATCATTATATCACTTGCTCTCCAATGGATCCTCTGCATTGAATGGGTGCCGTCAGAATGAGAGTCCAAACAGCTGATAAAAACAACACAATAATCCACAAGTAATCCACACGCAGGGAAAAACTGCGTGTTTGTAAGAAACAAAACTATCATTAAGGCGAATATCCTGATTCAGACAACTTTTTCACTAGAGAAAGCAATATTATGGATAGAGGACTATTTTAACCAGAAGCAACGGATTGAAAGAAGAAAGTCATATACACCTAGGATGGCTTGAGGGTGAGTAAATCATGGGGTAATTTTTTTTTTTGGTGAACTATCCCTTTAATGATGTATTTGTTTATAACAAACACAGAGCTTTTCACATCACAAGCCATTAACTGATGATCTGGAGTCATGTAGATTAATTGTGGATTATTGTGATGCTGTCTATCAGCTGTTTGGATCCATTTGGATCCATTGGTAAGCAAGTGATGTAATGTTAAATTTCTCCAAACCTATTGCGATAAACAAACTCATCTACATCTTGGATGGCCTGAGGGTGAGTACATTTTCAGCAAATTTCAAATTTTGTGTGAACCATTCCTTTAAACAATGTAAAAAAAAATACACCTGGCGAACAAACAGGACATGAAAGTTTATGAAAACAAAATAACACAGTAGCCCAAAGGAGCCACTCTCAGAAACAGTTTAGGTTAGAAGAGAAAGGTACCATACACCTCCATCAACCTCAAACATGACAGAACACTTGTAGGATGCTGCACACGTTACTAAACTTGTGCTAGACAGGTTTTGTATTTTTGACGTTGTTATATTCACTTTTCATCCTTTTTCAGTCAGAACATCATTTGGCAACAGCAAGAGAGAGCGCACAAAAGACTCTTGGTATTCAACCACTGGTGAAACCCACTGAGGAATGGATTAATATTGCATTGTGCAGCCAGCCAGCTCTATAATACAGCAATTTTAATTCAATGACATAAAAATATTACAGTTTTGAGCAGAAAAGTGCTGCATCTGCACTTCTGCTTGAGTAGCAGGATTGTATTAAAATACCGTCAATTTGTGCACTTTTCTTTTGTTCCTCCACAGCAGGTGCACGGAACAACAGAAGTGCACAGGAGGTCATGAATAAGCTATTGTCTCTCCTCCCTCCCTGGCTCTCTCTCTATCTCGTAATGGAGCTTCCTGCCCTCTTTTAACACGCTAACACAATCAGTTCATTCTGTAAGGTGGGGAATTTGTTTATGTGCTTTTGTGCCCGTCTGGATGGCAGTCAGATTGCGTTACCTGCAGTAGTATCAGTGAAGGGGATGTGTCTGCTCTGACATGGGGATTATGGGTAAAAAGCAATAAGGCATAAGGAAGATAGATATGAAGAGAATAAAAAAAGCAAAAGAGAAAGAAAGAGAATAAAGCTAGAGAAAAGTAGAGATAAAGGAAAAGAGTTTGAGTTAAACTTGACTCATATATTTGATATATAGATGGAGTTGGTCTGTATAAATTAATGTTTTCCCCTCTTTTATTGCACAGACAGTAGAGAGTGACAGGAAAATTATTGGAGAGAGAAAACGGTAATAAATTGCAAACGGTAATAAACACATTGAATGCTGGACTTAAACCCGCAACACCCACTTAAGCAACATGACTCAACAGAGCATATGCAGATGTGAACCACTCAGCAGGAGTGGATAGCAGCAACATAAACTTTTGCTTAAACATGACTGCATAATAATTTCAGAGGAATTATATAATGTGCATGAATCATCTACAGATCCAATAGAAAAGACACAGAAATGTAGCAACTCAATTTCTGATATAATTTGAGCATTATTCTTAGCACCTTGGTAAAAACAATGGGATATTTGAGAAGGATGCACAAACAGAACAACTGCACAATCAGAGACTGCCCTCTTCTGGACATGTTATTCAGTAACATTGCAGCACAATGCCTATAGTTTTACCAAAAGGCAGATCCACTTACAATAAGTATAGTTTAATTGCATGAAAAACATGCTAATTAGTGCTATGCTTCATCTGAGAGCAAAAAAAAAAGTGAATCTCCAAGTTAAGAAGTGAAAATCTCTGCAGAACAGCACAATGCAGATCTGTTTTCCATAATTTGTCAGGGTGGACTGGAACTTGTGGGATATCAAAACATCAGTACATCAAACTATTTAATAGCAAAAGAGCCAGAAGAATCTTGTTTTCCATCCCCTCATGCAATTGCCCCTACAGTAGGTTTAATCTTTACCTTCTGGCTGCCTTCTGGATCCAGGGCACATACACAGGACACATACTCCTGCATGGCCTGCTCCGCACTCATGTCCCCCAGCTGTTTCCATGCTGACCTGTGAATAAGAAGCACTCTGTTGGACTTTAAAGACTCTAAAGATTTGGAAAATTCAAGACTTATCAAGAAATGCACGGCTTGTTAAGACACTTACCATTTTCTCTGACCCTCGAAATCGAAGAAACCAGGTTTTGGTGTATTGCACTTTCCAACTTTGACCTGTCAAACATACGCTTTTAGTTTACTTAATAATATCAAATGCTCAAATAATGTAATTTTTTTTAGATAGTACTGATGTCAAATATTTTAGACTCCAAATCTATTTGGATATTATATTTTATTCATAGGTGGAGTACGTCTTTATAAATTACTTATAATGAATTTATTGGGGTTTTTTTTCTTCTTTTATTACACAGACAGTAGAGAGTGACAGCAAATTTAATGGAGAGAGAAAAAGGTAATAAATTGCGGACATGTTGCAGACTGGCCGTAAACATACATCAATCACATAAGCACCACTTCTCAACTAATATATTCAATGTTTACTTAATAATAATTACTGTCAAATGCCCAAATAACTGGTTTCAGTGCCAGATGTTTTATACTCCAGAACCAACAGGCACCTTCATCTGTCAGAAATACATACCCTTTACCAAACCTTACCATGGCAACCATATAATTTGTATCAACACTTTTACTACAGTTACTGTTAGTGCATTAAAAAACTGGGGGAACTTTATATTAGCCACCACTTTAAAAAAATAAATAATTTTATAAATAAAAACAAATAAAATGCCAAACAATCTCGCTTCGTATCGTCTTTGCAGGAGATGTCATGTTAATGTATTATGATTTTACAGTATCATCAACTAAGGCTGGGTTTACCTGCTTGAACCTGGCGTACAGATACAGCAGCTGCTCTCTACTGGCTGTCTGGACGAGATCTCTGACCCGGTCCGCTGCCGCTTCAAATTCATTCTCTAGATCGACTCCTTCTAATCGAAGCGCTGCGTCCCCAGCACTACAATCAAATTTCCCTAAACCGAAATCTGAATCCGAATCGGATCCTCCGCCGAGCGGCTCTCCGGTGTCAGGCCGCGCTGGATCAGTACCGGAGCCCGTCGCTGAGTCTGGGGAGGAGGACGGAGATCTAGACGCCATTGAAGATAATGAAGATACCTTATAGGGGTAATCAACAGTATCTTTGCTTTAATTATTATTAATTAATCTTAAAAACAGCGCAGACAGTTGACTGCTACAGTACGTTATCCGTAATCCGATTCAGTCGGACTTGTTTTGAGAATTGGTCCGTGAATGGTACGTCACAATAAAAGGCACGAGTGCGTCCCGCGACCGCTGGTAAAATTTCCAACGGTTTTTAGGTCCTACCAGTTTTTCAGTAGACGCGTGATCTGTGAAGTGGACTACTGCGACCATGCTAGAACTTTTAGATGTATTGGGGGGCGGTTTCCCAGACCGAGATGAAGCCTAGTTCTAAACTAAAATGGCCCTTTAAACCAGATTAACAGAAATCTGCTTTCTCTGTCATGGTTTTAAATAGTCCTAGGTTTAGTCTAGTCCAGAATTTAATAGCCTGATTTCCTGAAGGAAGACTAGAGCTACTTCAGGACTAAATCGAGGCTTACATTAAACCTACCAGGAGGCAGGTTTAACTTCAGATTAACGTTATGTTTCACACACACACACACACACACACACACACACACACACACACACATGTCTGGTCAGCTATCCTTGTGGGGACATTCTATAGGCGTAATGGTTTTTATACTGTACAGACCGTATATTCTATTGCCCTACACCAACCCTACCCCTAAACCTACCCCTCACAGGAAACTTTCTGCATTTTTAGATTTTCAAAAAACTTAATTCTGTATGATTTATAAGCTTTTGTACCCGTGGGGACCACAATTTAGGTCCCCACCGTGACACGAGTCCCCATGAGTCTGTGTGTAGTCAGGTTTAAGTCCCCACCAAAATCTGCACTTTGTTTTTACTAAACACACACACACACACACACACACACAAAACCCTAAACTTTCATTGAAGTAAAATGGTAGGGAAGGGAAATCTCATTATGAAAGAAATGTTTTTCTCTAATACACACTGACTACAATTAATGGCACCCTTTTATTCAAAACTTTTTGCAACCTCTTTTTGCCAAGAGAACAGCTCTGAGTCTTCACCTATAATGCCTGAAGAGTTTGGAGAACACCTGACTAGAGATCAGAGACCATTATTCTTTACAGTATCTCTCCAGATCCTTCAGTTTCCCAGCTTTAGGGTTCAGATCAGAGGACTGGGATGATCATGGCAGAAGCTTAATTTTGTGCTCAGTCAGTGGCCCATTTTTGTGTTGATTTTGATCATTGTCTTGATAGAAGATCCAAACAAGGCCCATTATAAGATTTCTAACAGAGGATACTGTTGGTATTTGCTAGAATCTATGATGCCATCTATCTGAACACGATGTCCAAGACCTCCGGCAGAAAAATAGGCCAACAATATTAAAGATCCAGCAGTATATTTCATTGTACACACTTTTTTTTTTATCCCTGTGTGCATCACCTTGAGTGTTTCCTGCAAAAAGAGCTATTTTTTTAGGTTCATCTGACCATAGAACCCAGTTCTGTTTGAAGTTCCAGTAGTCTGAATGTGCTGGAATTCGTTTTTTTCAAACCCTCCCAAACAACTTGTGGTGATGTAGGTGGTGTTTGATTATATATATATATATACACATTTTTTTTTTAGGCTTTCTGACCCCAAGACTCCTTGCAGAGTCTTTGGCCACTTAAACTATCCTCTTCACGTTGCATTGAGACAATACAGACACATTAGACAATATACTGTAGGTAGATTTGTAACAGATTTATAGATTTGTTTCCTGTTGATTGGAACTATTAATTATTGTCATAATGGTGGAAATGGACATTTTCAATGCTTTAGCTTTTTTTTAAAATGCTAATTCAGATTAGCACAGCTAGTTTTAAATGAGTTATTTTAGTTCAGGACTCCATAGTCCAGGAGTTAGTAATCTGTATTTAATCAGTGTTTCAGAAACCCATTTTGAACTATTCTAGATTAAGCCTACTCCAGACTTATTTTAAACCCTGTCTGGGAAACCGCCCCATTGTCTATTAAATCACTATTATTTTACTATAATATATTACACTATACAATCAATTATTGGCCATTGCAGTTTCACAAAGAATTGAAAACTTTGAAAGAATTTCAACTTACACACAGAAGAGACACAAAATGTAATTTACATTATAGATGGTTCGCAGCAAACCTTATTTTCTTGATATTAATGTAACCCTTAACAGGGATTTATGCGCAGATTTTTGCAATGAACACATTGTCCACAAGATGGCAAACAAATCACATTTTCATGAGCGAATCTCGATATTACGCCTCCACTGCCATCTCATTCCTGTTCAACTGCGTGCATTGTCCTTTTCTTATTTCCTTTCCTTTTCCCCCCATTCTTTCTGACTAAATTGATCAGATTTTATTACATATGTAATGTATAATTTGCTCAGAGTGATTAAACTTGATTCTTCCTTACATTTCCTTGCACATTTCTGGTTGGAGAAATGTTTTACTTGAACCTCCCTGTGTTGCCCAGAAGCTCTAAGTGCCACCCTGGCGTTCTCAAATATAACAACATAAAGTGGGAATGCAGGCCTCTTAATGGGCATAAATGTAGCAAAACGGTGCACACCGGTTTGAGCTTGAACTTGCCCCAGGTCTCAATGGCTTTGAGTCAGCAAGCAATATATCAGTTAAATGTAAGTAAGCAGATTCAACATAAACAAGAAAACATAGGGCCTATGTGTAGGCTATAAGTTATATAATTTTCGCGTATTTCTATTATGTCATAAGCAATATTGCATTAATATTAACATTAGATTATAACAAATAAAAACAACTAGTAATGTCTAACGATAAGTTTTGCAATATTTCATTTAACAAATCCAAGCACACAGAGCTTCCACAAAAAAGCTTGTCAACAGTTGCTAACGCAGGATTGGCTAATAAGGCTCGTAGGATGGGATTTAGCTAGATCAATTTGCAAATAAAATAAAATATTATAAAATTATATATATATATATATATATATATGATAAAAAATAAATCCCCCTAATTTTGAAACACTTTAGAAAAAACGAAATCCAATTTTCAAAGAAAAATTCATAGAAAATGTACATTAATAACAAAAAAAGTATAAAAAAGTAATATGTACTTTTATTTTTAAATATTAAGACAAAAAGCATGATAAGATTAATCACCAACAGTTTCTAAACGCACCTCACGGCGCGCTGTGACGCACATACGTCTTTCACCCAGTGCGCGCTGATGGCGGACAACAGCTACTTCACAAACGCCTAGACTAGAGAGTCCGGAGAGAGAAAGTCCCTCCCAGAGACGCCCGCACCGGGGCTGTAGCGCTGTCATTTAGGCACCTGTTTTGGGAAGTAGAAGGAGGGTACTTTTAGTCCCCTTTTGTTGCGGGTTTCACTTTGAGTGGGGTAATATGTTGGACCGAGGACTAGTGGACTCTGATACACCGGACAGGATTTAGACAGAGCGTAACGCAACGCCAACGCACGCGGCTCTGTAACTTAGTGACAGAAATAACAAAATCCCAAAAGAAGACGCTGCCCGACCAGAGGATATTATTATAGTCCTACTGTGGATATCTGCTCCGCCAGCATGAAGTTTGCGGAGCACCTGTCCGCCCATATTACTCCAGAATGGAGGAAACAATATATTCAATACGAGGTAAGGTATTTATTTATGAATTTTGCATGCTGCATGTAGCCCCTAGTTGCGTCGCAGAGATTGTGAAGCAACTCGGAGGTAATTGTGGTTGTGGAACAGGTTGTAATTGTGAATATTGTGGAAGCTACGAAAGATTGTTTACAGGCTTAAGTTAAATGATCTCTCTCTCTCTCTCTCTCCCTCTCTCTCTCTCGCTCTCTCTCTCTCTATATAAATATAAACGTATCAGACCTAAAGTGAAACAATAATGTGTCTGAAAAATAAATTGCTAAATGCACTTTTTTGTTGTTGTAATTTTTGCATTGAAGTACACTATATGATAGCCTACTACATAATATAGTATGCATCATATACATAATTTGTCTCTTTATGTTATTTGATATTAATGAGGGAACCATTGCCAGCTTTTACATTCAGGCATTTTTATTTATATTTAAAACCATTTATTGCTATTTCCCTTTTTAAAATTTCAGTTCATAGTGATTTTATTCTGGTTTCTTGACACTCTCACAAATCAGTGCATCTGGAGCATTGTCAAACACCTGCCTGCATATTTGGGACAAAGAAGGAGAAATTGCCTTAAAAATGTCTGTTATATATTCTGTTTTAAACAGAATTGTAAAGTTATATTAAGTGAACTCACCTAAATTCTTTCTTAAGTTTTCTTTTTTGGGATTAAGCCAGAAAGGCCATTTGATGTAATTTGTTTGCTCGCCCACTTTATGTCTGTGGCAATTAATTTACTGAGTGTAGGAGTTTAATTTATTTCTGCAGAAAAAGTCTTTCTTTTTTTCTTTTGAATTACATTTTAGAATGTAGCTTGATACAACAGCATATTATATGTACAATAATCATGATTTATGATTGTTGTACTCTTATTAAATATATAATATAGCATGAAAAAAATATATATCATGAAAGGTATTTATACATAATTTCCTCTATATAAGGTAGGTTTAAAATGCACTTCCTTTTCTTCATTTATGAAAGGTTTAACACCGCTGCAGTCCATGGTTTCCTAGGTTTTCAACCACCATTAGTTTTATGAATTATGAACAAAGGAAAGAGCTCTGAGAGATTCATGGTATATCCATCACTAAATATATCATGCCCCAATATCAAGCCTCTGCTTCAGTAGAATCTAATTCCACTTAAAATAAAACATAATTAGGACAAACATCAATTACATTTAAGACATTTAAGAATTACTTGTTGAGAAATTATTATTATTAATATTATTATTAATGAGTGTCGTGTAATATTTTATATATCTTATGCTGTTTTTGTTGACATCTGAACAGTGGATGGATAAATGTTGTACTGGTCATTCTAACTGTTGGTTAATGAATAATTTCACGCATGATTTTAATCTGATGTTGGTTTATTTATTGTTTCTGTGCTGTGGAATTATTGACTGCACCCTTAGACAATAAATCAGTGCTATTTGTTGTGTGATGGTGGATGGTCAGAGCTTCAGCATCCGTCTTGGCGCAAAGGAGGAAAAATCCTTTGTCTGGAGCAGTGAATCCGT